ACCATCTCAAAAATAAAAATAAAAAGAATGTTCTAGAAGAATGTCCCATCACTACTGTAGCCACTAGTCCATGTAGCCATTGAGCACTTGAAATGTGGCTAGTGCCACATGTTGAAATGACAATATTTTGGGTATATTGAGTTAAATAAAATATATTATTAAAATTGAGCCAGGTAGGCTAGGCACAGTGGCTCAAGGCCAGGTGCAGTGGCTCATGCCTGTAATCCCAGCACTTTGGGAGGCCAAGGTGGGTGGATCACAAGGTCAAGAGTTTGAGACCAGCCTGACCAACATGGTGAAACCCTGTCTCTACTAAAAAAAATACAAAAATTAGCCGGGCATGGTCGGTGGCATGTGCCTGTAATCCCAGCTACTCAGCAGGCTGAGGCAGGAGAATCGCTTGAACCCAGGAGGTGGAGGTTGCAGTGAGCTGAGGTAGTGCCACTGCACTCCAGCGGGGGCAATGGAGTGAGACTCCATGTTAAAAAAAATTAAGCCTAGGTGCCTGTAATCCCAGCACTTTGGGAGGCTGAGGTGGGTGGATCACTTGAGGTCAGGAGTTTGAGATCAGCCTGACCAACGTGGTGAAGCCCTATCTCTCTTAAAAATACAAAAAGAAATTAGCTTGGCATGGTGGAGGGCACCTGTAATCCCAGCTACTCAGGAGGCTGAGGCAGAAGAATCACTTGAACCCAGGAGGTGGAGGTTGCAGTGGGTCGAGATTGTGCCACTGCTCTCCAGCTTGGGTGACAAGAGTGAGACTCTGCCTCAAAAAATAATAATAATAAAATAAAAGTCATTTAGCTTGTGTCCTTTTGCGTTTTTGAATGTGGCCCTAGGCAGTTTATAATCGCCGAGGCGGCTCGTCCTATTTCTATCAGGCAGGGCTACTCTGAGCTTGGCCCTCACCCAGTCCTCTCTCCCACTCCCACTCTCCTTACACTCAGTTCCAACCACACTACATCCCTGCAGTTCCATGGATGTTTATCTAGCTACTCCGTGTTGTTTAAGAGCAGCTTTCTCTGCAGCCAAAACATCTCCTCCTCCAGGAAGCCTCCCTAACACCTTCCCACACAAGCCCACCCCTTTGCCCTGCCCTTGCCTCCTGACAGCTGCTGCTCCTTACACAGACCTCCTAAATACAGTATAACCCTTGAAGGGTCTTTATTCCACCAGATAAGAGACTTTTAGGAATTAGGACTTGATCTAATTAATCTCTGCATCTCCGACATCTAAAGCAGTGTTTGCCTAATAGATAATTCGTGGATACATGTTGAATAATTCAATGAGTGAATGAGTTAGTAGACGAACGAGTCCAGTCCATAGAAGGGAAGGAGAAATAAAACAAACCCCTGCACCTGGGAAGGAGCAGACTGTCAGGCAAATCATCAAGACTGGATTCTGGGAACAGAACCAAGCCCAACCGGGGTACTGAGAGCTGGGTGGCAGGTGGCAGGCTAGGCCCACTCACTAGCTTGTCAGCAATTCACTCCGTTCTACCAACCCTGGGGCACGCTCACGTCAAAACCAGGCCACAGGAAAATCACACGTTGCTACAGGGACCTCCAGGGCACCTAAACCACATCTACCAAATCCAGGACTACCAGGGACAGGTAGTGATGCGGTGGGACCATCCCCAAGGTCCCCCACCTGAGAAGTGTTACACTATCTCCTCCAAGGATTGCAAACTCAAATGGCCAGGCATGAGTGCGGACGTGGCAGGGTAAAGACTACAGGAGGTGGGGGCTGTGAGGAGTTGAAGAGGCGGCGCATGCCCAGCCCCAAAGAACAGCAGCAGCGGTGCCTGACTGCACCATCAGACAGATACCATCCAGATCCTCCAGTGTGTAACAAGAAACCAGAAACCACAACTTGGGAAACGTTTCCAGATTTATTTTTTTCGAGACAGTCTTGCTCTGTTGCCCGGACTGGAGTGCAGTGGAATAACCATGGCTCAGTGCAACCTCAACCTACTGGGCTCAGGAGATCCTCCCGCCCCTGTCTCCCAAGTAGCTGGGACTTCAGGTGTGTACTGCCACAACCGGCTAACTTTTTAATTTTTTTGTAGAGATGGGGGTCTCACTTTGTTGTCCAGGCTGGTCTCAAACTCCTGGGCTCAAGCATGCCTCCCACCTTAGCCTCCCAAAGTGCTGAAATTATAGGCATCAGTGACCGTGCCTCACCTGCTTCCCAATTTTTTTAATTCTAAATTTAAAATTTTTAAATTTTTAAAATTTACAATTTTAAACTCATCATGCTCCTTGGTATTCACCCAAAGGAGTTGAAAAAAAAAACATATATCCACACCAAACCTGCACACAGGTGTTTATAGCAGCTTTATTCATAATTGCCAAAACTTAGAAGCAACCAAGATGTTCTTCAGTAAATGAATAGATAAACCGTGTCACAACCAGAGAGTGGAGTATTATTCAGTGCTAAAAAGAAATGAGCTACCAAGCCATGAAAAGACATGGAGGAACCTCAAATGCGCATTACTAAGTGAGAGAAGCCAATCTGAAAAGGCTACAGACTGCACGATTCCAACTAGATGACATTCTGGAAACGGCAAAACTATGGAGATGGTAAAAAGATCAGTGGTTGCCAGGGTTGGGGGGAGGGAGGGATGAACAGGTGGAGCGCAGGGGACTTTTAGGGGAGTGAGACTGCTCTGTGATGCCTCAATGATGGATGTATGTCATTCCACATTTTGTTCCAAATGCACAGAATACACAGCACCAAGGGCAAACTCTCATGTAAACTATGTGGGAGATGATGATGTATCAGTATAGGTTCATAGACTGTAACAAATGGACCACTCCCTGCAGGTTTTTGATGGTGGGAGAAGCTGTGCATGTTGTAGGGGTAGGTGATATATGGGAAATCTCTGTACCTTCTGCTCAATTTTGCTGTAAACCTAAAACTGTTCTTAAAAATAAGGTTTATTTTAAAAAGAAATAAGCATGTAAAAACCTTTATACCTACCAGTGGTATACCTGGGGTGGGGGTGAGGGGCAGAAAGGTCCATCCCTCAGGGTCAGGCAGAGTCTGTAGAGAATGTGACAATAGTGATAAAACTAAGTAGAAGCCAGTCTGGGCTGGGCATGGTGGCTTACGCCTGTAATCCCAGCACTTTGGAAGGCCAAGGCGGGTGGATCACCTGAGGTCAGGAGTTCAAGACCAGCCTGGTCAATATGGTAAAACCCCATCTCTACTAAAAATACAAAAATTAGCCTGGCGTGGTGGTGGGCACCTGTAATCCCAGCTACTCAGGAGGCTGAGGCAGGAGAATTGCTTGAATCTAGGAGGCGGAGGTTGCGGTGAGCCGAGATCACGCCACTACACTCCAGCCTGGGCGACAGAGCAAGACTCTGTCTCAAAAAAAGGAGGAGGAGGAGGAGGAGGAGGAGGAGGAGCTAGTCTGCTTCTTATCCTGACCATGCATTGGCAATTCTAAAATGACATCAGTGATAAAGCCCAGTTCCCAGCCCCAGCCCCAGTCCACCATTGATGCAAAGCAAGCAAAACACGTCCAGAGCCCTCCAACTGGCTGCTCCTAAGCCAGCCTGAAACCCAAGGACTAAGGAACTCAAGAAATGCCTGAGTACAAGAATCAGTGAAGAACCAGAGGCTTAAAGTTATGATCCCCTGAAGCTGACTCAGAGATGTCCAGGCAGGCCTAGGGCCCTGGAGCGAAGTATAAGATCCTTTCCTGGAGCAAGGCAGGTCTAAAGTAGGGCCAGCTGGGAGTGATAGCTCAGGGAATCTCAGAGAGCCCTTACCTCTCCTGTTGCAAGCATGGGCTCCCCTGAGGCTGGGGGCGAGGCTGAGCCTATGGGGTGATCTACAGATCTCACCTGGGGCCAAGAAGGCTGCAGGAGGGTGACCAGGCGGCCTGAGGCTGTGACCTCCTACCCTGGGCAGTTCTGCTCTCCTATGGCTGTGGGGCCCACACACTGTCCCCGCTCTGGGGAGCAAGGCATGAAGGCACCAAAGGTGGAGTCGGGAAAGGAGAGGACTTTGCCCAGCCTACACATCAGGCTGCCCTCGCAAAGCCTGTTCTTCACTGTTCTCTCAACACTACCTTTTGAAAGCTTCTCTCACGTGAGCTCCACCACCTCCATCCCTGCTGAGTGGCCAAGTCACCACGCTCCCCACGGAAAGACCCCAGGCCTCTGTCCACTCTTGCCCAGTCTCTGTCCCCTTTTGCTGAGTGTTTGATATGTTCCTGGAGTGAGGGCCATCCCATGACTTTTATATTCCACCAAGGACAGTGAGTACCAAACTGATGACCTTCATCCCACCAGACTGGGAGTCAAGAAGCCATACTCTGTTATCACCTTTGCTATGTGGCCACAGCCACGTCACCTGTGCTCTGAACTTCCTCTTCCACAAATGTAAAACCAACAGGGCTGGATGCTCTCTGAGGTCCCTTCTAAATCTAGCATGCTGAGCTCCTCTGGGTAGAAGAACTGCCCATCCCATCAGGTAGGGGATGCCAGCCCAGCACACAGTCCAGAGGAAACACCACACAGAGCAGAACACAGAGGAAATGGTATTAGCTGTGTATCTCAGGCTGTCCCCAGGGCTGGAGAGACTCAAGAAGGCTTCTGGGCAGGCTAAGCAGAGAGGACACTGCAGAGGGGACAGGTGCCATGGGTCAGTTGGGCGAAGGCATTTGCTGGAAGTGAGGGAGCACTCAAGAGAAGTAAGGAGAGTCCTCTCCCTGAGAGCCTCCTCAACAGCCACTCATCCTGTCCCTCTGCTCTGGACCCTACCCCCACTTCTAAGTCAAGCAAACCCAACTTCTTGAAAGCAAGCAAACAGCCACAGAGCAAGACGCACACGCTTCTCACCCAATCCCAGCCAAGGGGAACAGGCTATAGTTTGTTGACAGAGAGAAAAGTAATCAATTTTTCATTACCCGGTGAAGGCAACAGAATGTCTCAGGATGTCAACAGTTTCCAGGCAACAAAGACAAACCAAATACACAGGCCCCTCACCTGAAAGCTGTTTCCTTTACAAGCATCAGCTTGGATGAGAGGCAGGGAGGAGAGAGGCAGAGGCAGGTGAAACCACTTGGCAGCCACCGCGTATGAGTCAGATGCTGAGGTTCTGTGGTTGTCTGCAGTGACCCCATTAGCAGATCTTGTCAGACTATGACTCAAAGCAGAGCCTGCAATGGGGGAGGATTCAGGCGCAAGATGTCAGAGCAAGCCTAGAGAGACTGGCTAATGCGGCTTATTCATTCATTTATTCAGCAAACATTTCTTAGGGCTCTTAGGCCCTGGGCTCAGGCCTGAGGCCCGGGTCTGGCTGGGGAGATGAGCGTGGAGACAGCGTCTCCTCACCTTGGGGATGAGAAGACTGACAACCAGAGGGAGGAAGTGACTGTCCCAAGATCACAGAGCTACACAGGGGCACTTGGCGGCTGTGCCGTGGGTCTCCAGCACGCAGCAGGCCTATGCACATGGAAGAAGGCTCAGGAAGTGGCTGGCACAGACATAGTCTCATCCAGAATTAATACAGGAAGCTTTCCAGAGACCTTTAGCAAAAGTGTTCAGATACTGAACCAAAAAACTAAAAGGAGATCATTAGAATCTCTTATGGTGCCTATATTATTGTTATTTTTAACTCTCAAGGTGATTCTAACCAAAACAGAAAGGATGGCCCTTTCTGGAGCGCCTTCCCCAGCACAACGTCGGGCCTCAGAGCTCCCAGGATGTCTCCTTGTGTTTGCGTTAACGTTTCTCAGTGAATGTCAATGGAGATTCGAGAATAAGTCAACACAGGTCCTCACAATAAATGCCAAGGCTTGTTAGCAGAGTAAACCGTGTGCTTAGCCTGTCTTAAAAGAATCTTTGCTCAGTAAACACAAGAAAGGCTTTACTTGAGAGTCAACAGAGCAAGGAGCTGAAGCGCCCTGCCAGGCTGGAAGGTGACTCCACTGGCACCAGCCGCAGGGTCCATCAGGGGCCCTGGGAGGGGAGTCAGGATTGGCCATGTGGGAGCTGGAGCATCCTCAAAAGCCCTTCATGGCAACATGAGGACACCAAGGTCCAGAGAGGCCAGGGGGCTTGTCGAAGGCCACGCAGCTTGTTGAAACAGAACTAAGTCTCTCTCACCCAGCAGCCTCTGCTCGCCCAGGAAGCCCTTTCTCTTGGTGAGGAGGCAAAAACCCAGTCCACAGAAAGGAGGACCTGGGAATCAATCCCATTTGCTCTGAAGTATGAAGAAACTGACGTCTTAACCTTCCCAGGGCAGTTTTGGTATTTAAAGAAGACTGCAGGGAAATGAAGCCCTAATGGTGGCATGTCTGAAATGACAGCAGTGGGAAAATATTTTGGGTCCAAATAGGGCTTCTAGCTTTTTCAGTCTCTAAATGTTCACACTGATTCAATATTATCCTTGGTGATAGTGGATAAAAAACAAGCCTTGTGGTGAAACCCCATCTCTACTAAAAGTACAAAAATTAGCCAGGTGTGGTGGTGTGTGCCTGTAGTCCCAGCTACTTGGGAGGCTGAGGCAGGAAAATCGCTTGAACTCAGGAGGTGGAGGTTGTAGTGAGAAGAGATCACTCCACTGCACTCCAGCCTGGGTGACAGAGAGACTCCGTCTCCAAAACAAACAAGCAAACAAACAAACAAACGAAAAACAAGCCTAAACTGCTTTCTATCTTTTCACCACACCCTACAACTTCTTTGACAGCTTGATATGCATAAGGTTCTCATTTTTCCAAGTAAAGAAAAATTATGAACTGAAATCTTGGACCTATAAGTTTGTGAGTCTCAAAACCCAAGTACAACCACTAACTTAATATTATCTCATTTAACGTGCCACCAGAATAAAACCTTCCAATATTCAATTTTTCATTTAATTTGAGAATTCCTTTCCTCTTTCTCAAAAGAATTTAAGAATATAGATCAAAGTACAACTATGCAGCAAAGTCAATAAAAGAGCTGCCAAAATTTTTATTTTAAAAATCGGTGCCAAGAAAGGAAGAGGAGGTAAATACCTTATCCATTTGGGTTCATTTAATTACTGAGACTGGGCATCTGGTCTGGTACTGAATTTCTCAGCAGCTGAAGCAGAGAAGAGAGAGTGTGAAGTCACAGAGCTCTCGTTATCATACAGGAGGATGCGGACTAATGCCCAAGAGGACACAAACTTTCTCCTGCCCCTAAATTTTACAAGAATTTTTCACATGAGACCTTATTTAGGAGACCATAACAACATAACAGCCTGCTCAAGTTTTCTGGCAAAAGCAGAAACGGTTTTCATGTGGCCTTTTCTTCCAACAACCTTTGAGGGAAACCAAGGGTGCACCAGATTGCACAGTGATTCAGTGACATCCTTCTTTGTTTTTAAACAAGAAATGAGCGTTTTAAGAGGCGAAGTCAAGCGTGCTAAGTAAATTACAAGGGAGGGAAGACCATATTAAAGTGCTCTTGGTTTCCTCTTGGCTGGGTCATGGGAGGGCACACAAACATGCTTTCCTTACGAAGGTGTGGACTGACTCACTCATCCCTCGGCCAAGCAGCCAGACAGACGGTCCTGACTGTGGAACTCACACCCTAGCCTAGAAGCTCTCTAGCGTGAAGGGGTCAACCCCAGTAGCCCTTCCCAGGGTTGGCCACTATGGGGCAACACTGAGCCAGCATCTGAAAAACAAACATTCCTTTTCCCAGCAAAGGAATCCAGCGTACATGAAATTGTACCAACACAAAAATTCCATTAATTCTGAAAATCCAATATTTGACCTTCCCCATAAATAAAGGGTGTAAAAATAAAATGGCCTTTCTAATTGTAGAAACTGCTTCTTTGATTTCCCTTTTTTTTTTTTTTTTTTGAGACAGAGTCTCTCTCTGTCACCCAGGATAGTGCAGTGGCGCGATCTCTTCATTGCAACCTCCAGCTCCAGGGTTCAAATGATTCTCATGCCTCAGCCTCCTGAGTAGCTGGGATTACAGGCACACGCCACCACACTCGGTTCATTTCTGTATTTTTAGTAGAGATGGGTTTTTGCCATGTTGGCCAGGCTGGTCTCCGACTCCTGGCCTCAAGTGATCTACCTTCCTCAGCCTCCCAAAGGAGTGAGCCACCGCACCCAGCCACTTTTTAACTTTTTAGCCACCAATTCATATGAGATAGCAAAGAAACGCTCAACAGTTTTTGAACAGGAACTATGCTAAGTGTTTTTGTTTTTTGTTGTTGTTGTTTTTCTTTTTGTGAGGCGGAGCCTCGCTCTGTCACCCAGGTTGGAGTGCAGTGGCGCGATCTCAGCTCACTGCAAGCTCTGCCTCCTGGGTTCATGCCACTCTCCTGCCTCAGCCTCCTGAGTAGCTGGGACTACAAGCGCCCGCCACCATGCCCGGCTAACTTTTTTGTATTTTTAGTAGAGATGGGGTTTCACCGTGTTAGCCAGGATGGTCTTGATCTCCTGACCTTGTGATCCGCCCACCTCGGCCTCCCAAAGTGCTGTGCTAAGTGTTTTATATGTGCCATCTCATTTAATTCTACAAGAACTCTATGAGGTAGGTGTCAACATGATCCCCGCTATGTATATGATGGAACTGAGGCACAGAGAGGTTAAATAACTCACCCAAAGTCACACAGCCCTATTTAGCGGCAATAGGATTTGAGTCAACCCAGGTAGTCTGATATAAGAGCATTTAACCCTGTGTCCCAGAAGACTTACATGATCTCATAGCTGGAGGAAGCATCTAGTTCGCTTCCTCCTGAAGCAACACTGTCTTCCATATCCCAGCCTCAGCTTAACACCCAGAAAGCTTTTCCTTATTTTTCTTATTTTGACCTAAAACTGTCTCAAAATTGGTGAGAGTTCTTCCTTCTAGAGCTACTTGAAAGTTGAGTCTCTCTTCCACATGAAACCCTCTCCAATTTTTAAAAAATCAAAACTAGTGTTTTTAATTTAGAAAAGTAATGCATGTTCATGGTCTTTAAAAATTCAAGCAATATAGAAAGGATAAACTGGAAAGTAAAAATATTTCTTCCACCTCATCCAATCCCTGTCCTCAGAATTAATCATTGTAATTACTTTTGAATCCTCCCAGGGTTTTTTAATACTATAAACTTATGCACATAATTTCTTTTTTAACTCAAATAGGGTCATGTTATGCATACTGGTGGGGCAACTTACCTTTTTCCTTAACAAGGTGTCCTGGATGTCTTTCCATAGCAGCATTCCTATACATAGCTACATGAAAACATCAACATTTATTCAATCTGCCTACATACACTTTTTTTCCTAATACAAGCAATACTTGAATGCAATTGTACATAGCATAGGTTCCTGCAAATGAAATTCCTGGATAGAGGGTAAGAGTACTTTTGAGAGAGAGGACCAAATTACCCTCAAAAAATTGTAGTAGTTCTGGCCAAGCGCAGCGGCTCATGCCTGTAATCCTAGCACGTTGAGAGGCCGAGGTGGGCGGATCACGAGGTCAGGAGATCGAGACCATCCTGGCTAACACGGTGAAACCCTGTCTCTACTAAAAATACAATCAATTAGCTGGGCATGGTGGCAGGTGCCTGTAGTCCCAGCTACTCGGGAGGCTGAGGCAGGAGAATGGCGTGAACCCAGGAGGCAGAGCTTGCAGTGAGCAGAGATTGCACTCCAGCCTGGGCGACAGAGCGAAACTCCATCTCAAAAGAAAAAAAAAAATTGTAGTAATTGAAACTCAAACAGGCTGAAGAAAACATTAAAAATTTTTTTTTTTAAATTGGAACTTGTAGTGATGGCACAGTGGCTCACCACCTGTAATTCAGCTACTTGGAGACTGGGACAGGAAGGTTGCTTGAGCCCAGGAGGTCGAGGCTGCAGTGAGCCTTGATCGCACCACTGCACTCCGACCTGGGTGACACAGCAAGATGCTGTCTCAAAAAAAAAAAAAAAAAAAAAAAGTAAATCAAAAAAATTCAAAATCCCCATATTATTAACTGTGGTTTTTAAATTTAAAAAATTCAAACTCTCCACATTATTAACTGTGGTTTTTAAATTTAAAAAATTCAAAATCCCCACATTATTAACTGGTTTTTCAGTCTTTAATAAAATAGTGGAATGAAACATTAAGGGGCTGGGTGTGGTGGCTCTCGCCTGTAATCCCAGCACTTTGGGAGGCCAAGGCTGGAGGATCACTTGAGCCTACGAGTTCAAGACCACCCTGAGCAACATGGTGAAACCCTATCTCTAGAAAAGACAAAAAAAAAAAAAAGTAGCCGGGCGTGGTGGCATGTGCCTGTAATCCCGGCCGTTCGGGAGGATCGCTTGAGCCCCAGAGTTCAATGTTGCAGTGAGCAGAGATCACACACCACTGCACTCCATCCTAGGCGACAGTCAGACCCTATCTCAAAAAAAAAAAAAAAAAAAAGAGAAGAGAAGAGAAAGAGGAGGAGGAGGGGAAAGGAGGGATGGGGGAGGAGGAGGGAGAGGAGGAGGAGTAAAGAAAAGAAAGAAGAAGAAAAAGAAAAACGCTGTAGGAATTTACACCCAAATCAACCAACAGCCCATTTTCCCAGGTTTATCAATATCGCCTTTTATCAAACTGTTAACTTTTCCTTCCACGTTTGAAGACAGCTCTTCATTCATATATTCATTTACACAACACATTCTTTCAAACAATATTGACTACGCATCTTTTCCTCAGGCGCTGAGTGAGGAGCTGGGTTTGCTCTGATCCGGGAGTTTCCAGCCCTGACTGACTTATCCCCCGGTTCATCAGAAGAGCTTATGAAAATACAGATTCCTGGTGGCTGCCCCGAGGTGCTGGTTCAGTGGGCCTTGGAGGGGCCCGGCAAGTTGTTTCATTCATTTTTGTGTTTTTGTTTACCAGCTTCCCACGTGATTTAGCTATTTGGTAAGGAGCCAAAGGTAGAGCAAATCTTCCCTCTCCTTTCTCTGGGTAAACTCGCCTTCTGGAAATGAAGGCGCCGGGAACGGCCAGGACCCACTTCTGGGAAGTGAAGG